TCCACTTTGTTACTTTGTAGCATTTTTTGGTACGCGAATACTTGTTTGTATCTTTAGAAAAAAAAGGAAATATTTATCACAGCAAAAAACGAATCTCTTGCAAACCACTATTTATTATTTGCACTAATACACTTTTAATTTGGAGAGCACTTGTGCAGACTCTTTGTGGGCAAACGCCATCATTTTATAGACGTATGATCATGTACAGGCAAAAAGCTGCGCAGAAACAGTGTTTGGGGCTAACTGAGCTTAAACTTAAATAAATTTAAATTACATTAATCAATATTCGATATTTTTTCAAATAATTTTTTCTTCAAGTTTTTCCAAATTCTCTCAGTTGACTTACCTTTTCATAAAACTCTTTGCAACGCTTTAAGTACATCTTTCCAGATATCGTGGTCAAGGTTCGGTTGATTGTTTTTCTGCAAACTCGTGCAACGATATGTTGTAGGCTTTAATTATTTAATTCTAAGAATTACGCAATAATTAATGACTAATTTGGATACACACACACACACACACAGTGGTTGATTTGATATTGAATATGTCTCTTATGACGACTGACATTCATGTGCCTAAGGCGACAATGTATACTCTTTGTAGTTGGCTTTATTACTCGTCCTTCAAAGCTTCCATCAACTACTTTTATTGCCAGCAATAAGAATCGAAATGTATGCCCCAGTGCTTGTAACAGAATATCAGCCATTGTCGCCTTCGAAATTTGATTTCTAAAAGCAAAGCGAATTAAAATCACTTACATCTTTGGCAAGGATATTTTCAAAACACGTTGTTAGATTGGGATTGAGCCTAAAAACCAGTCGAACTTATCCACTTTTAATAGGATCACAATATAATTAAAATAACTTCGCTCTCTAAGAGGCTTGCAAAAAGGCGCTACATAGACGTGAGACGGCCGGTTAGACTGGTCGTATCGGATAATATTATAAAAGATGACTGTATCTTAAAGGTTTTCCATACATCTTCATTATGAGATGCGATAAAGATCTTGCATACTTTTTTGTTAATCGCCTTATAGTTCGTACAATTGTTTCCTCTTGAGTTTGTCTCTCCTTCTTCCTGAAGTTTGCATAACCGTGATTTGCATAACCAAGTTGAGAACTCTATTAAAAATAGATGGGTTCGGGCCATTATTCGCATTGAAAAAGTGGTCGCGAAACGAGATAGTGTGTTTAACGCTCGGCATTGTTCAATATTAACGTTTAACTTGTTTTTTGCGAAATAGAGGCTAAACAATGTTTCCTGTCACACTCTTCAAAATCTTTCAACCATATATATATCTTCGATGCGATTGTATTGCTACACAGACGTTTACAATTTTACTAAATTGAAAATGGATTTAATTGATTGGATGAGTTTAAATTTAAGGGAATAAATTTGGAAAATTATACGCCCGACTTCATTGTTCCCTTTCGTTGTTTTCAAAAATTTGCTAAGCGGATTGCTTCGTTTCTATGCTTCCATAGAATGATAGAGAGCAAAATACTGAGACGACCGACACACTGATAGACTGATAAACTGACTTGTGCAATGGGCGTTAAAGCGATTTTTTATTATTGCCGTATATTTGTTTATTTTCTCTCCAGAGCAATATAATCACAAACGCTTCAAACTAAATTTATTTTCAGGAATGGATATAAAAAAAATATCGTAATTGTTATCGACATAAAAGATCTTTTAACATAAATTTTACATGAAAAGATGATACTGATATTATTTTTTGGTTAAAACTCTTCAATAATCCAAGAGTCGTCTTAAACAAAGGTCTATAAAAGCAGCTTACCATTCAAACAAAAACGAAACCGGTTTTTTGTTTTTTTTTTTGTTGAGGATTAAATACATTTATATAAATAAATAAAAACTAGAGGAGTTTCCAAGCGAAAAAAAGATAACAAATAATACTTATGGAATTCATTAAACCGCGACCCTGAACGCTCGTATGCTTCGTGCGTCCTCCTCACATCTAAACCAAAAAAAAAAGAAAAGAAAAAAAGAAAAAGAAGAGCAAAAAACATACACGTGTGTACATCCTTATACGTGATGTAAAAAGTTCCTAAAAAAGAAGCAAAGAGAACCTGTTCAAATAAGGTCACCTTCAGATGTACACATGTTGTTGAAACCTTCATCAAGTGATTGGTGGTATCGTTTTTTTCTTTTGCCCTTTTGCCTTCTTTTTATTTTTTTTTTTGTTTTTTTTTTTATTAAATATGCTAAAATTTTATAAAAATTCCTTTGATTAACTAACTGATTATATGTTGCTTCTTAACCAGTATATACTACGTAGGTATGCGTTGAATTGTGTAAATTATGTGTGTAATTGCCAATTTTGTTTCATTGTGTATTCTCCTTAGCCAAATTTATTTGCAAGTCTTGCTTGTTTTTTTTTTTTTTTTTTTTCTTGCCTTTTATAAGCGAACGGCCCAATAAAAGCAATAGCATGTGCGCTGCGCGCTGTGCAGAAAGTGATTTCAACAACTTTCATTTACACGTTATGCGTACTAAATTGATTGATATTAGTCGACATGACATGCATTTAGGTTGATAAGCATAATACAATGAGAGCAGCAGCAACAACAAAATTTGATAAAGAGAAATTAAAAAATTAACAATTAATTACTTGAAAATAAGCACAAATAAATTATTACAGCAACAAAGTAAAAATGTTATATGCTTATCACGCCTACACCCAACGCTAAATCAAATTTACAAATTAATTTTTTTTTTTTTTTTGCAAAAAATTTTTTTGAAAGTAAACATGAATTGTCGCAAATAATTACATAAAAATGGCAATAGACATAGCGTTCAAATTATGTCACTGCATAAGCATTTGGGCTGAGGTAACTTCAACACCCAGTTAAAAAATATAGAAATGATTGCAAGTTTGGAAATGGACGCGAAACAATTTTGCGCTCAACTTAAGAAAAAAATCTTTTTTCTTAAATAATAAATTATTAAATAAACTATTTCGTGTTTTCGAAAAGCTCCATTTGACAATAATTTTTCTTAACGATTTTTATATGGTGTCCATAAAATGTGTGCACTTTGTGCCGCAAAAGCTATTGATTCTCGCTTTGCTTCTTTTGAGGTTATGTCGTAGCTTTGAAGGAAATATTTTTTTATTAAATTTATCGCTTGTTAAGGGAAAAATTCAAGAAAAGCCTTTGTCGGAAAAATCAAAGCAAGGAGGCGGAAAGTTAAATTTCTTGATCGCTTGTCGCACATAGAAACTGAGCCATGCTGCAATACGTTTCATTGATTGATTTTGTGGCCTCAGAAACTGGAGACTTCTAGAGGCTTATTTTGTGAGCCAAGTAATTTCAAAGAAATTTTTATCGCAAAATGATTCTGAGCGATGAAGTTCGCTTTTTCTCAATGCATTCATTAGACAGTAAAATTATTCCACCTAATCGCACTTGCAACCCGAACTTTTTCCTGGATGTCGTATTACCTTAGGGGTGCAAAACCTATAGTTCAACCAGTTAAAGTACACGCTTCTTATCTAACTTTAGGCCGTTACCAAAAAACCTATTTTCTTACGGTACTATTGAATACTTCATCAGATTGCGTGGTTCATTAATAGCCAGTCAGTATTACTCACCCTTCCCGCCTTCGAGATATTCCACACGAAATTATGACCCGAAAAAGACAAGGTGTAGAATAGTCCGGAGTCGATCGTCCGCCTGCCTACATGGGTTTCCGCGCGTCTATTTCTTGGGTGTGACCGTCTGAGGAGTGTTTGTTGGAAAAATGTGAAACCCCCCTTTGTGCGCTTATCTGTTACAGCGCCTGACCTTTTCAAAGTTACACAAAAAGTGGTGCCCAGCAACATAATAGTATGCAGCTTTTGCTTACTTTTCCTATAGCCAGACGAAAACATATTACGTCAGTGTAGTTGCTTCGAAAATTAAATTTTCATCTACTAGTTAACAACCTGACGACTACCAACCTTTTCTGAAAGGACAATATATTGGTAAATAATAATCGGAAAAGTACCTACAAAGTGTACACTGATTAGTAGAATTGTTTTTAAAAAGTTTCTGTTTACGGCTGCCAGCTCTTTTGTCGACAACTCTTGTTAGAGTTTATTTTCGTTTTATTTCTTCGTTTCTCTAATGTTCGATAATTAGTAATCCAATGGTTAATGCAAATTGAAGGTATGTAGATTATATTTTGATTATAATTCATGCAAGTTGAAGGTATTTAGAATATATTTCTGTGTAAAAAGTTTCCGCAACTGGTAAGCTGGTTAAGATACGATCTGCAGCTGTGATAATGAATTTTCCTTGGAAGCTTCAGTGGATTCAAAAGGCTCTGATCATAACGGTAATCTTAATAACAAAAAAAGAAAAGTCAAATGGAATGGTGCTACGGTCGATCGCATTGATTGAATCTTTGACTAAAGATTCCGTGGTGCATTATCATGATTCTTAAAATATGATTCAAAATTCAGGTTAGAGATGAGAAACAAATTTTGAAGAATTTTTCTATTGATTCAAGATTGACTAGCATTTCATCAAATTCTTTTCAAATCGAATATTAATATAAATACTTTCTCAGTAGATTTATCTTCCACATCGTTCTAAAAATCTAAACTTAGCTTGAAATGCATTTATCTAGCTTTATATACCAAACATTGTTGTAAAAAAAGTGCGCCAGTATAAAAATGAAAGAAAAAATAGTAATTCAAAGTTGTTTGACCGTCGCTACCGAAAACGTGCAGGGGCACTGCAATGAGAGATAATTGCACAGACATCGTAATTGCTGTGTAAAATTTGTTAAGAGTGACTTTGGGAAAACGTAGTAAACGTGAATCGGAGTGATTTGTGATTTTCGACATTTTGCTTTTATTTGTTTGTTTGTTTGGTTGTTTGTTTTTTTTTTTATTTCATCCTTTAAATTGCACCATTTAGCAATTGTTCAAGTTTTCAACTAAGTTTTGCGATTAACTTGTGTTATTTCTGTTTGATTTCCATTTATTTCAGAATAATTCAACAATAAGCAGCAGCAACAACAAGAGCAACAGCAGTAATCATAACAATTATAGTAAATTAAATGTAAATAATAAAAGAAAATGCTGTTCAAGCACAAAGACAAACAGTCGCCATTACAGTTCTGCCCACACACAACAACCAGCTGGTCCAGTGCGGGAAATACAAATCGATCCATATATAATATTAGACGAAGACTTGAAATACGTTTACGATGATATACGGGAGGTAAAAATTATAATAATAATAATAATAAGAAAAAATGCATTAATTAATTATTTCAATAATAATAAAAAAAAATTATTTACAATCTCTGCAGAGACTGTTGGTCGGCACTACACAATCTGAACTTAACGAGATTGCCTCATATTATTTTGATGGCCAGGGTAAGGCCTTTAGGCCAATGGTTGTATTTCTAATGGCTAAGGCCATTAATTATCATTTAAACAAAGAATCAAGGTAAATGAATATCATATAAGCAATAACGGGAATTAAATTGGTAAAAACAATTGCGACATAACAATCAGTTTACTTTAGTTTTAAACGCTTTACGAGTAAATGTTGTATGCTAATCAAAATTTTTGGTTTGAAGGCAATCGATTAGATTAAAAAGATTAAGTATTTAAAATTAAATTGGAATTATCATATCATTTAATCTTCTTAGATCTGATTTTGCTTAAGCAAAGAATGATTGATGTTGATATACGTTGGCTTAATTCATTAATGATTATTGATTATTGTTTTCAGTGCATTGCTACGCAAGCAACGTCACTTAGCCTTGTTTGCTGAAATGGCTCATTCAGCTAGCTTGGTGCACGATGATGTTATCGATCAATCCGATTATCGTCGCGGCAAGCCCAGCGTTAATGCTTTGTGGAATCATAAAAAAGTAAGTGATACCAGCCGTAAGAAATTATGCTAAGTAAAAGGGACCAAGTTAAGGAGGGCATCTTAGACTTGCCATTACATTAATATCTTTCGCACGATTAGGATGTAGGTTTGGATAGGCATGCCTTTTCACCGATTTGACCAATTTCCAATATCATTGCATGCAAAAAAATTGGATTTTTGCACAATTTATAGCTGATAGCTTCACTTTTGCGGCCAGAAAGTATTTACCACAGATGTTATACAGATGATGATTAGGTAGATTGCGAAGTCTACACTTATTGAGAATGTGTGTACTTAAAGGCATCTCTCCAGCTTCGTTCCGAATACTGAAAACGTTCTTAGTATACTCCCTTTCTTCGGTGATGAATATAGAAAAAACTTAAGTTACATACAGTCACAAATATTCACATTTATAATAATGAAATAAACTATGAGTGAAACGATTGGTGAGTGAAGTGAATAAATTTGTTTTGATATTCTGAGGCTTTTAAATATTTTGAAGACTATCCTCGTAATGGCCTGCATTGCATCTAATTGGGTTCGGAAAGGTTGATTGCAAACGAGTTTCACTTCACTTTACTAATTAGAAAGTGAGGTTTGTTTATGTAGCGTTGTGCCCTTTTTCCAATATATGATTAAACCGTTGACAGCTAATAATCAGTTAATAATTGGATAACTTTGGCATTTACTATAACGAACACATTGAGCTCATTTTCTGAGGATAACCTACTCAATATATAAGCCTTTAAGTGCATTTAGCTTTCATAGTCATGCTTAGTAGGTCCTTCAGGAATTAAGCAACAAGATAAATGCAAGAGCAAAAGAAAGAGTTTAAAAGAAACAAGAAATCCAAAGAAAATGTATATTCTGTCCTTTTCACAAGCTCTCTAATAGTAACTAAAAAAACAAAGTGAGCCCAGATGAGAAACTTCGTAAAGTAATTATCTATAGGTTTTTCTTCATGGAAGACTATTTAAAAACATTATCGAATCTTCATTAAAAATCCTATGCGTACATGAAAAAGCAAAAGCGGAGTAAAAGAAACAAAAAGAGACTTTCTACATTTGCATGCGATTTCGAGAATATGTCTCGGCATTGGTACAATAAATCTTGCTACACGTTATCCTTACTATTAAATATCTGTTACTGAAAACTTGATTACTACGTCTCTTACGTGTATTTGATTTAAGGTTACCTCCATCCAGAATAAATCGAGAAAGATGGAATTTTACTTTATTATACCATTCGTTCAAAGTTATTACCTAAATGAAATGAAGCCTGTCCGTTCGTCTGTCCCTCCGTTCGCCCATCTGTTTGTCAAATATTTGCCAAATCGCTAGATATGCAATTTTGTATTCTATGACAAAGATAAGGAAGAATAGTAGAAATGAATCACGTCAGTTAAGTTTGCGGGTCCACTTCCGTAGAGGGATTCGGGTATCCGTATAATTTTTATAAGAAAATGGACTGCAGGATGATCGCATAAAGTGAAGCGACCAGTCGGCCTTGCTCGACTATTACATTTTAATCTATCTAATGGTAGCTAACTTTGTAATCCGCAAGACATAAAATGCTGCTTTTTATCTAAGCAATCTATTCTTGCATGTTTTAAAGCGATTTTCAAAATTTACCAAATAAAAAAAAAAAAATTATTTTCAATCACAAACAGTTACTTACTATAATTGAACGATCACACATATTGCGTAACATATTATGACCTTCAACATGTAATATTTTGGTAATTTTTCTTTAAAGTTTCCCCAACAAGCGTAAATAAATAAAGAAATAATTAAAACCAGTTTTAAATGAAAAGTAGAATTATTAAAAAAGTGTAAAGAGACATATACAAATTTTATCATTTTTTTTTTTTTTTTTTTTTTTTTTTTTTGATTTTTTGGTAAAATTTTAAACAGAAATGTGTATCACAGATATCATATAACATAAGATATATACTTGATTATCGCAAAAATGTAGCAGCACTTGGTCCTGTTTGTTATATATATATATCGAAAGATACGGTCTTTGTTATTGCGCCTGTGACTGCTCGCGTAAATTTAAATTAAGACGAAATTTCAATAAACTTGATAGCCTCAGATGGTGGTGCTTTAAGACTTTTTAGCCTTAGTCTTAGAATTTACTTTTCTGGCTAAATTAGTTATAATAATAATAATAATGAAATTTTACAAAATGGAAGCTGAACGGTTCTTAAGCTTGCCTTCTCTTCACAGCCGAAAGAAATCAAACTCGATAATACTGCAAAGTAAAACTTGGGATCGAGTATATATATTACTATGAACAAAAAGTAGTGCGACTTATCTAGACCCGAGTAATTGTTTTTTTTTTTTTGCTTAGATTGTAATCATCCTAACTGGCATGACTTGACTTTTGCTTCGGTAGTCGAAAAAATATGTGGCAGAAACACTACATGTAATATAACAACACGAACACTTTTACGATTGTGAATTCGTACCTATTAAAAGCGCAATACACGGGCAGTGACTTTAGCGTGTCTGTGCTCTTTTTGTTCCATTGCAAGACTAATTAGACATAATTTTGTGCATTTGACGTGTGTTAGTCGGTTAAGCTATTAGTTGAGGCTAAATAAAAAAAAAAAAAAAAATATTTCATATATTTTTAGTTTTTTTTTTAATTCTTTATTTAGATGATAAAATAATTAAGATTAATTTTTTTTTAAATGATTTTCCAATTTTTCATGCTATCGTGCTATTGCGCAGAGGGAATTAATTTAGTTTTCGTAGTATTTGAAATAATATTTTATTGTTAAAATTTTTTTTAATGATTTTTTATCTTTTGTTTTGTATTCTTGTATTGATTACAGGTCACAATGGCTGGTGATTTCATATTATCTTCGGCTTCTATAATGATTGCTCGCCTAAGAAACGATGAAGTAACAATACTTTGTAGTAAGGTATGTAAAAAAAATTATTAAAGTAATATAAAAGAGAATTCCTTAAAAAAACTGCACAAACTGCACGAGATCACGATAGGATTACATATACCTATGCGTCTGCCTAACTTATTAGTAGTAAGGAATAAATCTATATTGAAAAGGCGGCTGCTTTTATAATAAAATGCAAAGCTGTCACTTAAGTAATTTTAACACATGACATTTTGTTGTTAACTGTAGATTTAGGAAATTTTATAAATCTTGACCGACCTTGGCTACTGGATTTCACATATTCACCCAAGATTAAACATGAAGGCCATAGTGTGTCATCAGCTAAATGAGATTATAAAAATAGGGAGGAAAGAAAGAAAAAGTGAAGGGAAGAAAAGAAACAAATTAAAATTACCTAAGCAAATAGTGCAAGTACTACATAAACAATGTATTGTTTGCATTATCAATGCAATGCAAATGTTTTATCAAACCGTTATTTTTATTACAAATTATGATTTCAATATTTAACTGCGTTATATGTACGATTTTGGCCCATTTTAATATCGTACAAGTTTTCCGGTAAGTATTTGGCTTAACTCATAAAATGCCAAATTTATGTTACCGATGACGACGACATCGTTAAACTACTTGTTGGCCGGCTTATCGTGAAAGCTGTTTATTATGTTCATTAAGTGATTTCCTTATATTTTTTGTTTGCTTTTTTTGTTTGTTTTTTTTTTTCATAAAGATTAAAAAAATTAATTGAAAATTTGATAATGTTTTTCCTCAATACGTTGTTTCTGCGAATTGTAGCACGAATGCACACTAGAGTCTATTACATAAAAATTGTTGCTATGAAATCATTTGATTATTTAAAACTGTTTGCAAATGTTTTCAGTTACTTGCCTCCTCTACTATTTTTCCAAGCTGTAGACGTAATTTAATTTGATTTGACGCGATCTACTTCTTAAGTAACCTCTTTAAGCTACGACGTTTCCAAAGGCGAACGCTACAAGGTTTAGGTAGTTAAGAGTCTTAAAGCTCTACGGCATCTACTTCCAGCTTCTACTTATGATGTCCACGGAAGTGATCAACTTTTAAATTCTAAATTTTTTGGCATTTCGGCTAGTGCTTCTAAATGCTATGACTACTGCAACTGCGCTTCATCTACTTTTCTTTTTGTTCTTGTCCGCCTCGTCGTCCGCTTCAGAGCCAGTAGGCCTTTTTTGAAGTTTTCCCACCCTCTTGCAATCTGTCCTTGCGTACAAAACATCCCATGAAACTCTAAATTCCTGACACCACTGTATCGTAAACTTTTGTTTTTTACCTTGCAGCGTCCACCTCTAAATTTTGTTTTCATTTACGAAGGTACAGTTTATCCCCCTTTAAACATGGACCTAACACTTGGCGCTTCCTTTCAACCCTTACTTGTATTCTAAGCGTTACAACTTCCCTTTCTAAAGTTTAACTTTTGTTCCTTGCTCTGGATAGCCTGTTTTAAAATTCTTAAAGAAGCGATTGTTTCCGAGCCCTTGTTTATTATGTCGGCGACCAAAATCTAGTATTTATTCTTCAAAGCGCACTTCTCTCCCAAACCTAATCATGTTCTTGACAAACTAACGGACGAACACCATTATAAGCAAAATCTGTTACAACAGTTGTATAGTTTGTAGCGTGTCGACTTGTCGTATCCAATTTATTACTGAGTTTCAAAAGCACTTAAAAGACTTAAGGTATTCCCGGCGATGAATAAAAATGGTTAATTGCTGGGGCGAAGGAGAGAAAGAGAGAGATAGAATTGAGAAACTATTTTGAAAATGTTTCTAAGGTTGCTTTTTTGAGTGCTGTATCTGTCTGCTTTTTGTTTGCTAATATACCAAACAACTGAATATAAATTTTATTTGTTTAACTAATCACTTGACCAAATGAAACCAATGACAATTAACGCCTTTCGGGTTATAAGATTGTGTTATGTTACCTTCTGCGCCTATTGCTTAGTAATAACTACTAATAACCATACAAATGAATGTATTTTTTGCTCCGGCCAGCTTGGCATTCATTAGAGTATTGTTATATGCAACAATGAGATTGTTTTGTACAACAAACAATGAAAATGATGGAGGATTTTGTTTTTTTTTTTTTTTTTTAAGAAGAAAAATCTAGTAATTTCGCTAAATATTTTTGCTAAATTTTGACATCGATCGGTATTTGTTATAATTTTCAAAATGCTCGCAAACAAATTATTATAAGCTGCCCGCTACTCTATAGTTGAAGAGGAGTAGAAGTACGTTTTCATAAATCCTTTATATAACTTCAATGTACCAGAAACTTAGTTGTAAGACTTAGGGTAGGATAAGATGCCTAATATATATCAGACATATATATAAATTTTTTTTTTTTATTTCTTGGATTTTGAAATAAAGCTTCATTACATAAATATATCAGACATATATCGGACAATGATTGTACCAAGAGATCAAAAGAGATTTTTTTAAATTTTTTACTGTACAGTTTGACATTTAAAATCAGATCGTAAGGTAAAAGCTTAGCTCCTCAAGTAAATATATGTGGAATTTGGAGAATTTCTCTGAACGGTGTACGTCGAGTTGACCGATTGCGGTCAATCGCGTTAAACTTTTAGAAATCCGTGAGAGATACGTGTATCAAATTTAAAATTTAAAGTAAAAATCATAAGAGCCTGCACGCATGCTAGCGGCCGATTCATATCTGCCGGCATAGGACATGTGTCATTTTTTTCCTTTCCCAATTCTGGCGAGACAAACGGATGCAGTTGCAAAAGGCTTTGTGGGCGAGGCGAAACCGAATAAGTGTGATTTATAAAGTGCCTGGAGTTTACCGTAAATATGAGAAAAAATTTAATGTACTCTTGTTCCTTTTAGTGGCGTGAAACAACGCATACTCCTTTAAGTCTCAACAGTTGCCAGTTGGTGGAAACATCGCTATATAACACATATTTTCGATTCAATACCGTTAGGTGTTGCCTCGTGGAACGCATAACTAATCCCATTCACTATTATGACTTGAAGGCAAACATCGATGTATAAACAAATGTTAAACTTGAAATTTATTTGCCGCCTTGTTTTGTGTTTTATCACCAGAACAGTACTTTTGAACAATTTGTAAAATTTTTTTTGGTAAATTCTTTTCTCTCTTCCTGCTCAAAGTCGATTTACTGCAATTGGAAACTTGTTAACAGCTGTTAACTCACTTTCAGGGTCACCGATCAAGTATTTAGGTAGAAGTAAATGATTGTTAATTAAGAAGAAAAAAAAAAAAAGAAAACGAATTTCAAATAATCAAAAATTTTCAAACTTTAAATTATTGAATGCACGCAACGAAATTGAAAAAAACCGAAAAATTAATATATAGTTTTCATTACGTAATTGTTTATTTGACTAAGTGTGTATATGCAACTCGTTGAGTTCATACAAATGGAGAAGAAGAAGTTTCACTTCCGTTTTCTATATTTTTTATGTTTTGTGTAATAATGTAAAAAATTGGTTAGATTTCATTGCTTTTGCATTGAACGTAACGTTGGATTTTGTGTGCGAGTGCGAGTGCGGGTGCGGGTGCGGGTGCGTGTGTTTGTATAATAAGTGCAGTTGTAATAATGATATGATTTCGTGTTTAATTTTAGATATTAACTGATTTGGTCCAAGGTGAATTTATGCAACTTGGATCAAGGGAAACTGAAAACGAACGTTTCGCCCACTATTTAACAAAGACATACCGGAAGACTGCTTCACTGGTGGCCAACACTTTGAAAGCGGTATGTAATAATGCAGACTAACATATAATCAACGATTTAACTAAACGTGTGGCCGGCGGCCATATGTGAAAACAATATTTTACTGAAACTTTAAACTGAAAATATTTTTTTTTTTTTTTTTGTTTTTTGTTTGTTTTTCTTTGTAACTACATTGAACAGACGGCTGTAATTGCTGAGGCTGATGAACATCTAACTGAACTGGCTTTTCAATATGGACGTAATATTGGTTTAGCCTTTCAGTTGGTCGATGATATGTTAGACTTTGTGTCATCGACAGAAATGATGGGTAAACCAGCAGCGGCCGACTTAAAATTGGGTCTAGCGACGGCGCCGGTTTTATTTGCCTGCGAAAAGGTAAACGTCTTACAGTTAATGCCTTTTTGTTTTGTTGTCTTTTTTTTTTTCTTGTTTTTGTTTTTTTTTTTTTTTCCTAAAAGCGTTTCTTACTGTATTTATTGCTTGGTGTGTCGACATGGCAGTATGTCTAGGCAAAGTTTCACTTCCTTATAGATCGTTTTACGAATATGTTATTTGATTTGTAAAAGTATCTTTCATATTGTCATACACTTGATGATAGGTTTGCCTGTAGCTTTGCTATTATATTATGCGATATGCGCGCAAATTCCCTTTCGTTCAACTCGCTTTCCAACGCATTGCATTTTGCATTGTTGGCGCGTTTACCAACTGCTTATGTGTTTAAAATATTAAAATCGTTCAACATTATTTAGCGATTAAATCACTTTACCCGCAACTATTTTTATATATATATATATATATGTATATATATATAAATTTATTTTTTCCTCTTTTTTTAAAAAAAAATTTACTTTTTTTTGCTAAATTGGCTTTGTTCATACCTTGTATATGCATTCATATCGATTATGATCAATCAACGCATTACGAACGAATTGGCAACAATTCAAAATATAAAAAAATAAAGCTACAGCTAAATAGCATTTCCAATGTATCGAGTGAAATCTATCCATTGAGTTGCTTTACAGGCAATATTTAATTTCATTGGCTTCACAGCGCTTTTCCCTGGCAATGAACGCATCCTCTCCGTGCAACACCAAACAAAAAAAAATTGGTTTTCATCCTCATAAAATTATACGATTTCTTATAATTCTCCAAAAGTATGCTACACTTTTCATGCCATTCGTAGCACTTGATAGGAAGTGAAACAAGTACGGCTTATCAACTGCAGAATTACTTAACAGATTTAACATTAATTTTGACAAATGCTTATGCACGAGTAACGTTACTTCTTAGAACAATTGTTTTTCTTTGCAAAACCACACAACGTTACAATTGCACTTATATTCAGTTATATGGTACATGAAGTTCGGTTTAAAGCGAATTGAGTTTACAAAGTTGATGTGTATTGACCTTGAGAAAGACTCAGTCTTAATATAAGTTTGGCAACAGTCGTTGCAATAGATCATCACGAGATTGACTACGATACGGTAAAGGTAGCAAGAAAAAGCCTGGCATTAGGGTGACTAGTACGTTACAATTGTAGATGACTCCAGTTGGTTGATTGGAAACACTTTTTCATCTATCATGTAGTTGAAACTAAGAACAGGCGAAAATAAAATAGATACGCGATTATGCCAAAGTCCAGCGATTTGCCTTTAACTGTATGCATAGATGGACAGAAAAAGATGAAGAAGAGAAAATATCGAATAATCGAAAATATATACATTTCATAGGATCAGGGAGATATCTTCGCGATGGAAGTTGTTGTCCTCATATTCTTGATAAGATTTAAATTTTTATTCAAATCTACCGAGTACATGACTCTGGTATTGTGCTTGTATCGAAGAATTCGCAAAAATTGTGTTGAAAGCTTGGAAACGATTGAATATATTCTTAACACAAATATATTAAGCAGACTTGGACATAATTCACGCGATCAGGATTTCTCGCTTATGTACGTTTTTCCTAAATACTTGTCATTTTTTCTTGGATTTTTAAGAAGTTAAACAAAGAAGAAGAGACAAATTTTCAAAATTCTCTGCACGTTTTCAGTTAGTTATGAAATATTGATAAAGAAGATTTCATAAAAAATCTCAGTGGTATTTTTGTACGTCAAGGTATGATTGATTCATTCAGATGCTGTTTAGATCATCGCGAATGGGAAGCGTTAACTACAATGTGTTGAAATTCAATTCAATTCGTAAACAATTAACGAATTCTTTAACGCCCTAATGTTGCTACCCAATCTATCATATCAAACAAAACGCAAGTCATAAAACGCGCCTGCGAATTGCATATCTCGGCAACGGCACTCGTTCGTTTATGAACATTTGCTTGCTTGCAAATACGTCAATAGTTTTTCTAGCTTTGTCGCTGTCACTGAGTTGGCGTTAGTGTCAGTCAAATTTATTCGCAGTTAACTAATATGAATTCATTTAAAACAATTTTCTGGCTGCTCGTGTACGCAATTCTTGTTTGAATTGTTTAGCTTTTGCATATTTTCAAAGTACGTGAATTACATTTTTTTCTTTCTCATACGTAAGAATTTGCAATAAAGCGAAAGCTAACTTAAATAAAAAAAATAAAAAAAATTGTTTTTCAAAGCATAGGAAATTTGTATGCAAAAGCATTTGAATACCAAGCATTTTATTAAAGCCTTACTTGATAGCTACTAAAAAATGGAAACCGACATAGCTTAAGTCGCGTTTGTTGATACAAAAAACAAAATCGAAAGACTTAAGTCTTAAAGAACTGGCATCTGACTGGCTTTTGGCTTTATTGAATACTCTGCTGCACTTGAGATTTGAATCCACGACTAAGTTTCATAGAAAAGAAAACTCTTCTGATATCCCTCGACAACTGCTTTGTGGTCGTTCCTGTTTACCAGGATGAGCACAAGACCCATAACTAATAATAAACCGACACGGAATTGGAATCATTTTCCCTTTCGTTCAATTGAGTTGTTAGTCGAGATACTTCGTCTACCCGGCCTCTCAAGTGGATACCTAACTTCACTTTATTAAAATTTTATGAACGACTAACACAGCCCCCAACGCGTAGCTACTTGGTGTTGAAATTCAAACATAACCCTCAGAACGCAACAGCAAAATGTATAAATAATAAGCGGCTGATGTTTTTTCGAAACATAATATACGACGTCGTCTCTGTCACGAATAATAACGGAAGGATTTGTGGTAGAAGCTTATTAGAGTGAGAAAAATTTCGAGACAGAAATTGAGATCCAGTTGGAAATTTTATATACCTTTGCTCCTAATCGTCAGAAGTTTGGTTCAGCTGCTTTTTGATCCTAGGCGGATTTGTAGCGGGAGAGAAAAAATTTTGAAACGTAAATCGCTAGAAGGAAGGTTGTTGTCACCGAGAAGCTTTGCTCATCTTTGGTATTTGTTTGTGGGAGATCTTTCAACCTAACTTGACGATAGCGATAGTTTGTTGGCAAGTCGTTTGAAAATCGTTATTTCAGTAAGTAAATAGGTAAATGGACAAAGTCAAAGGTTATGAAGAAATGATGAGAGATGTTTTTTACCTATCCTGGAACAACAACAACTCTTTTAGTATTTTGCGTAGTGATTAAAGATGTTTTCTGTTAACATTTGATGGATTCATGGGAACGCTTTTTCTAAAGTTAGGTTGTATGCTTATTTTGAATTAATTTAACATTTGATTTTGTATTGTTTCTGCTTCTTAAGTATCCGGAGCTGAATCCGATGATAATGCGTCGATTCAGTGAACCTGGCGATGTAGAACGTGCTTTCGAATTGGTGCATAAGTCTAATGGCTTGGAGCAGACGCGTTTTTTGGCCCGCAAGCATGGCATTGAAGCGATACGATTGGCTCAGGAAATAACGGAATCTCCCTACCAAAAGGGTCTACAGGTGGTCGCCGATTTAGTCATTAATCGTATGAAATAATTTTCGAATAAAATCAAATACTCTTCAAAGAGTTACGGAGGCAAATGTAAATTGTATAAAATTTAAAAAAAAAAAAAAAAAAAAAAAAATTTTTTTTTTTTTTTTTTTTAAATAAAAAATGAAATAAGAAAATTTTATTACAATTATTCGTCGTAGGCATAAAAAAACGTAGACAATAAGAGTATTTGTTGGAATTTATATTAAAACCAATTTCGTTTCTAAATAAATTATACAAGAAACGAAATGCGAAAAGAATAAAAAGAACATCAATTCATAAATAGTTATATAACAATTTTACGTAGCTAACTGTATATATACTTAATAAACGTAATAAACAACTGGATATGCATCCAGTGTTCTATTTCCCCAAACATACAAGGCAAAGAAAGTCAATATGTTAGTCAGTAGGGCTGGCTATTCACAGTGTAAGTAGTACATGAGACATGCGATACAGTAAAGAATTCATAAATGCTGCCTGCTCATGTACTCTAATACGAGTGAATATCCCTAATATTATGTATATGATAACATTAATGATTGGAAAAATAATATCTGAAAATTTTTCATAAACATACAGACATAAATTGTTATTCATTTTTTATTGTTGTTATTTCTTGCACACATACATACGATACATTTAAGTATACATGTACATAGAATGAAATGTGTATGAAATTTTGTAATTTATGTAATCTTTCTTAGTCAAAAAAAAAAAAAAAAATAAGAAGAAGAATAGAAAAACAAAAATATATATTTTATTATGAAATAAAACCAGAAGGCAAGGGATAAACTTATTTGCAAAAAAAAAAAAAAGTAATAAGTTTTATATACAAATTTTAAATTAACGACTTTTTTTAAACTCTACACAATTTCTGCGAGACTTTTTTTTTTTTTTTGCGTTGAAATAAAAAGACCACAAGTTTTAGATGAAAAGCAAAGATATGAAATTTTGATTAAGTTCTTATATTTCTCTTACCGGAGGAACGAGTTTTTGTTTTTTTTTAATATTCCTTTGCAATATGTAGAGATATTCAACAAAGCCCTCATTTAGATTTCCGAATTTATTAGTTTGTCTGGTTGACCCATGATCCCATGCTGACTGGGCCCCGTTAAAACTTTCAAAAATTCTTATTTTTTTCAATTCGCCAAAAGCTTTCCTAAAAAAGCATTTGATTCAGCTCACTACTATGCCTAGAGTTAGTAACATTCTTTTCGAAAGTTAGGACCAAGAAGAAATTTGACAGTTTGGAAGCAAGACTAAGCTAAGAAATAATAGTAATTTGTCCAGCAGTGCTATTGTATTATCGGAGGAGTAGGTAAAGCAGTTGTGTGAATATTCCCCAAGAGTCTACATCTGTCTTTCTTAGTAACTAAAACACATCGATATGAAATTCAGCAAAAATATTTAACAGAACCGTTTATATAGTTGGAAGGGTCCACTAAAAAGCTTACAATTTTGAATTGTAAGCAATCTGCCTACGAATTGCGAAATAAGCTTTCATTTTAACATGAAAACAAATTGTTTCCAGGGGTCACTTCTTAACCTCAAAATTTGAAAGGGCTTAAGATTCTAATGCCTACAAAAAGAAATTGATTTTTTTGATAGCAAACGAAGATTTACATAAAAAGCTTTTTACGAAACAATTTCCTTTTTTTATAAAATTCATTCTTTACTTTTTAGCCTCTTACAGTTTCGCTTCTCTCTTTTTCTAAAAGTCGCATTCTGTTGGTTTCAGTTAACGCTTCATTATTATAAGGAATTTTTCCAGTTTAGCTTTTTTGGAAGCAAACACTATATCCTTGAAACCTCTCTCTTATTTGATATGCATACGAAAGGTATAGGTGCTAGAACGGCACCCACAGCGTCTACTGGCTTGAGGCAAATCTAACAAAATTCATTTTATTGCCAAAGATGTTATTATTTTTGATTTATTTTTGCCCTAAAGTATTAAAAACTATACTTTTTTGTCATACAAAGGCTTACGCGTCATGGAGAATGGATTCAAAAGGTGGACCTAGATAGTTTAAATGCGCTAAAGCTCTTTTCTATATCAAACAAGAGACTATGAAAAATTAGAGCTTTTCACATAAGAATTGTTACTTTCCGTAGGAAAGGTTACATGGGAAGGGGTTCAAAAAATTACGCTATACGATTAAATTTTTCATATCAATGTAATTCGTCGTCGAAATTCTATTACTATCGAATCAAGAAATAAGGGCTTTCTTCTTGATTATGAAAGTGGTTCCATCTAAGCTATAATAATGTTCTTCCTTAAGCCAGACGAGAATATCAAATTTCATATACATGAGCACACATCAGACACTCCGCAATTACCGGAGTTGCTTCAAGCTTAATTGTACTGTTTTTTTCAAGAAGTATCGATTTTATCATACGGAATGTGAAATATGTGGTCTTTGACACATCAAAGAGTAAATAAGACTATAATTCTAGCTAGTATAGCGACAATTATGTTAAGCAAATAATTAGTGATTGGTGACTTCAGCATAACGAGTGTGTTATGAATTGAAAGACAGCATGAATTTACATAATCCAATGAGCCTCTACTATCTTTACATAGGCAGCAGCAGCAACATTCAAATCCTATTAAAATTCCTGCAAAAGCCACTATCCTTTGGCAATTTTGACAAAAAAAAAAAAAAAGAAAACAAAAACTAACGGTATGTACTTTTCGCTTAAGGGTAAATACACCTTTTTTTTTTTTTCTCTTCAAATTTTATTTATAATATTTTTAAACAAATGAAAAATATGTTGTATTAAAAAAAAAGAACACCAATAACATGTAATGCCAAAAAAGGAGGAGTTATTGCCTGGCAACAGGCTTTAACCTAAAAACCTATTGACTGACTCCCAAAAGTCACACACACACACACACATGTTATTCACATTAACATTTGTTTACGTTGGAGGATCCTGCTGATGTGTGTGTGTGTGTGTGCTAAATAACGGATTTGTTTGTTCAGAATGTATATGCTATATGCATGAATATATATATATATATATATATATGTACAGATAGGAAAAGGCTTGCCTTATGCTCAACAGCATAGTCGTGGCAGCAGTTTATGTAACTAACGTCATGTTATGCTGCCATTGCTCTCGTGCTCGGTTCTTTTGGTTATTGGCAAACTTTCTCATACGTAAACAAAGTGATGGATATGAAGAAACGAAAATAACAATTTTGCCAATTGTCATGTTTACAAAGCTATCATTCTGTTTATAAAACATTGTAAATATGTTGAGTAAGGATATGAAATGAAAATAACTTTGTCTTAAGCAATATTTGTATTTTCACGTTTTGGGAATATGAAAGGCACAGTGTACCTTATTTCTCCTTTAAACGAAGTCACGCATACATAAATATTAGTAAACAAATTAAGTTTGACTTTAAATCGAATCCACAGGAAGGGTATGGTTAACAATTTGAATTCTTTCTTAAAGTTCTATGGCTGTTGTTTTTAATTGCTTTTTTTCGAAGAGATTTTTTACAAAAAAAAAAAAAAAAAAAAAGAAAAAAAAACATCTTCAACTAAACTTTTACTGAATGTTGGTTTAGTGTTCAAAGTTGAAAGTCTACAATCATTCTAGCAAATTTTAAATGCTTAGTATTCTTTCGCAACTATTTCCTCGAACTGCAGCTAAAAAGCATGCATTTTCGTCTAATTAAATATCCCTAATAGCCTTCAAGGACGTCACACGCAATACACTTCCGCATACACTTTCCCCGGTTTACCTTCGTTAACGGCTTTATTGTTGTAGTATTGCTTGAATTTTTTTTTTGCACGTTCTTTGCTTTTTTTTTGTTTTTTTTTTCCTTTTTTTCTTTTCTTATGCATGTGTAGGTCAGAAACAATACTTTATTGTTATTCCAAAAAATTCCTAGACAACGCAGCCGAAAAAAGCAAAAGAAAATACGAAAAAACTCTACAAGCAATTATGTGTTGGTAAAGCGCGCGCATATTCAAACACATTGTATCGCACACACCGCGCTGTCTACGCTATGTACCAGGCAGGTACCAGGCTACTAGTGGCATAAATGCATACAATGTTTCAACATTTTTTTCGTTATTCATTCTGTTTAAGAATAGTTTTTCTATGAAACTATTGTAGACGGATAATTTTAGTTGAATGCCGCAACTCGAACGTAACACTCATTTCCGCTTAAATTATCCTTGAGCTAACTATCGACAAGTTAAAAGTTTCACAGTTTAGAATATATATATATATATATATTTTTTTTTTGATATTTTTTTTTTCTACGACGCTTTGTTGCTAAGTACGCTTAGAGACATAATGACGACCAGCGATGAAATGGGTACATTTTGTCATGATCACATTGAACATCCGTTGTTGTGGTGCGAAGATAAGAAACGTTTAATAGAACGAAAAAATGCCGAAGAAAGTTTACGTATGTGGCGTAGACGTAAAGCTGAAGAGCTGGCACGTAAAGAACGAGAAAAACAAGAGGTAAGTTGGGGTGTACTTACCGATATATATATATATATATATTTCCTTTTCTTGTTGGCTATTTTAAAGAGCAAAATGCAACGAATTTTTTTGCTTAAATTTTGGAGCATAAAGTATTGATTAGTTTCGGAGAATCAACGTCGCAGAAACGTCGTAAACAGTGAAATGATTCGTTAAGTTTACTTTCTGTTTAAAAATTGACTTCGTTTTAACACTTTCTTGCCGCGGGACTTCAAGAGGAAGAAAATTTGAAAGAAAAAAAAAATTGCACAAGGATTCTGCTCTGTCAAAGTCTTCAATCCCTGAGTCCGATTGACACAAAGTTTTGTACTCGGCGTCCCATTCGGCAATTGTGAGAGACTTGTGATAAGACTTGTGCTCTATACCTAATTCTATAGAGGATCTGTAAAGTTTTACCGTCCTTGTGATTCTGGAGAAACTTCCAGTCCGGTAGTTATGGCGATAGTGACCGTAAGCAATGTATGGGTTTTCTAATGTTGAAGAAATCTTCGGCTCGTGTTCAAGGCAGAGATGATAAGCTTTTTACGCATTATATTAATTTTTGCAGTTTTTGCTTTTTTCCTAAGGACCATTATTGCTTGTTTTCGTTCCATTAGTTCTTTCTTATAGGCCAGGCTTTCTTCATGAAGCTTTTTTATCACAGTTCGCCCAGCAATCACGACAAACGGCCTTATACGCCCGGGTGGTGATTTATTATAATTAAAATTTTTTTGGGATATGAAGAATACGAATAGATGTCACTTCGTTACGTAATTGCGCCAAATGGGGAAAATAGTGCTAGGATTTGAAAGATTATGATTATGATTCTCTCCTTTTGCAGATTGGTCAAGATAATTGTGTATCTCCTGAGTAGTGTCAAAAACTACATTCATGTAAAGTCTGGCTTTAGCATGAAAAATGCAGAAGCGCTGCGCAAGCCCGGGAAACTACTTTTGCTGTTTACCATTAAAAGGCAACAACATGTAGATTGCTGCCTTTCCTCCTCCTCGAGTACGTAGAAACTCTTCAGGAATCCTCACGCTTTTGATCTAGGTTTGATAAACAGAACCACCATTGGCTGCACCTTTGGTTTTTTTTTTTTTTAAATCGTAATCAGTTTAGTCGCAAGTAAGGAAAGAATGATGTGGTGGGAAGGTAGCAAAGCTTGCGCTTCAACTTCAATCTCATCTTTTCTTCGGTTAGAAATGCCAATTAGATGCTGCTCATTGCCTTTTCTCCTAAATGGGGAAAGAATAGAATTAAAGTCTGACGTTATGCCTATAATTGCTTTAATTTTGTTAATCAGAGATATTTTATAAACTTATTGATTTCTTTATCGGTTCGTATGAAATTAAACTATCAAAGTTTGTTCCTTTCGGTTTTTTTTTTTTTTTTTTTTTTTTTGTTTGGAAAAGTTCAATAACCTTTGTTTGTCTCTTCTGCTTTGAGTAGAAAATAATATTTCATGATTTACAACTGTTTGCTTTTAGCAAATTCTTTAGTCAATCTTTTTATACTTTTCGGCACTTATGCCTAAAGGAATGTAGATCAATATGCATAAAGGCACTCCTGTATATATATATATATATAAAATATTCTCCAAATTCACTTATAAATGCCTTCACATCCCGCAAATGGATAGATGTTGTTATGCACGAGAGAGCCTCAGGCTTCCCTCCTGCTTCTACTTCACTTAGTTGCGTGACTATCAGTGCAATTCAAATTTGTTAACATTTGGCAAAGTCAACGCTTTTTTTTTTTGTTTTTTTTTTCTTCTCTTTTTTGCTTAGAGGCGACTGGAAAACTGACAAGCCTATGATTGACTTATGTGCCACTAAAATCGCAGCAAATATATATGAGAAAAACTATCCTACAATTCAAACAAGTTTTGTGCGGATCTTTGTAAATTTATTTCCTATTTTTATGGAAGAAGTAAATAGTTAATCATTAATCAATACCGGGTCAGAGTTATATAATTACTATGAAATAGACTTCAATTGAGATAAATTTTAAATCAATTACTTATATAATTTACTAATTTTAGATTAATTAAAAAAGATTAATTGTATTTGTGTGTTGTTTGTTTATTTACCTAATAATATTCATAGTATTACGATTTGTTTCTTAAACACTGCCCTTGGGGTCGGCCGGGCGGTGGCGCACCTAACGTTGATATTAGACGTAAAGATATCGCCGAATTAGGTCTACATTCCACTGCTCCTGTGGTAAGGTTTAAAGAAAAAAATCTTTTCGATCTTTTTTCTTATCTCATTGATCAACTGAATCCGTATTTAGAATACCGGAAGCCATCGTTATAATTCCATAAATCCGTGCCGTCTTAGTGATTACTTTACTAAACATAAGAAATGTCTCGATCCAGTCACATTGTATCAACCAACACTGCTGTCCCATAATCATCGTCATCACCATCATCATCATCATCATCACTCGATGCCACGGGTTGGAGCACATTCGTATACAGTAGAGCATACGAACGATGATGCAAAAGCGGATAGTACGTTAACTTTATGTGAACGTGATGTCGAAACAACGGCGGATGATAAAAATGCTGAACGTCTTCAAATTACTTTAAAGGATCATCCGTCGATGTCGTTTCGTAATAAAGGTCATCTCGATATTGAAGTGCGTTACAAACCTACCGCAGTTGGCGTAGCAAAAGGTAAACCTGTACTAGAGAAGATTGTGGTAACGGAGAATGACAAATGTCCATTACTGGAAAAAAATGAGGACAAAACGAAATCGGAAAGTAAGCTAAACAAAACGAAAAAGAATTTGGAAAAACTAGAAAAGTCGGTAAGCGGCTTAACGTTCAAAATGAGTGGAAACATATTAATGAATTGCATTCATTGTTGTTAAAATAGGCCGGTAAGGATCCTTGGGGTAAGCCAGGTCCCGGTGGTAAGCCATGGCGTAGCCCTAAGGCGGTTGGGAGCACTTTTATGAAATCTCTAGTAAGTTATTTTTCTTAAACTGAATTCCGAACTCTCTCTACGTAAATATTTCAAGTTAAGCTTCAGTTTATATATCATTTTTGCAAAAAGTGGTTCCATTGAGTGCTTCAGAATGAACTTGGAATTTTTATACTGACACCACTTGTGGTACAGGGCGTTATAAGGTCCTTTTTATTTGACAACTGCGGGCACTGTGAGCCATTTGGAACATCGACATCAATCATACGCACCACAGACCCTACAAAATTCTAGATATTATTAAGCAAAGTAGCCGTAGAATGTGTAGTCAACCAAGCCTTCTTCGTAACACATTTTTTCGTTAATTGTGGGCTACGTCAAGTTAAAAAGAAAAATTCCTACATTCTTTGTATCTTATCAGATTGCCGAACGACATAAATTCACAATTTTAATTTCAATGGTCATGAATAGCTTAAAACTATCTCGCAATATCGTAATAATTTTGAGTTCACATTGAGGCACTCTATGGTTTCAATTGGAAGATCTTTGAGAAGACATTTTGGTGAAAAAAAATTTATATCTCTTAGGGTTGGACTAATAAAGAAATGCTTAAGGAACTTGATCAAGATAATCCGGTAACACCCGCTGAAAAGCCGACATTTCGTAAATCAAGAGCTGCCAAAAAATCAATAAAATGCTGCGATTTATGTACGTGCCCTTGTCCGGCCATTTCGCTTACCAGCCATCCTTTAAAGCCATTGAAAAAATCAAATCCGAACAAAATATCTGAAAATAAATCGAAAATTTGCGCTCGTTTAATGCGTCACAGTCATAACAATAAAGTCAATGATACGACAACAGATCAAAGCGCTAAAATGATGACAACAAATGCTAGTTGTGTTGGTAATAATGGTGTAGAATTGGTGCCGCTATTAGCTCGAAGGCGTGCTTACAATCGGCCAATTAGTTTATCTAGTACGGATATCACGAAACGTACAACATCGAATGATAGGTACGCATCTAAATTGAATACAAATTTAAACAATAGTAGCAACGACAATAGCAACAATAATAATAATAACAGCAATGGCACCACATGTTGCTTGAAAAAATTCACTTTACATATACGCTAAGCAATAACAACAAACAATATTTGAACAAACAAACAAACAAACAAACAAACAAACGAACAAACAAACGAACAAAAGATCGAAAAGCAAATTGTTCTTGTTACCAAAAGCTCATAAACGACACGAGTTAACGATTTGTTTATAGTCATTTGTTTTTTTTTTCGGTTTATTTTTGTTTTGTTTATTTTTTTTTCTTACCCTGAAAGACTCTTTTTTTTTTTTTTTTAATTAAATCTACTGCACGCATATGCATACATGCATGCTTGCAATCATCGAAAATTTCTCTAGAGAGTCAAAAATAAACGTTCGTTTCTGTTTTTTTTTTTTTTTTTTTTCTTTTCGATTAGTTTTATCCTTTTCAACTTAGGCTTCCGGGCGAATCTCATGACATATTCATTTATACGATTGAACATCGAATTTGTTTTTCTTTTATTTTTTTTTTTCTTTTTAATTTCTATGAACATTTTTCGCCAGCCATGCACTTGTTTTATGTCGTATTTTTTTAAGTTAAAAAAGACTAAAATTAATAATAAAAATAAAAAATGGAAAATTACCCTTTTTTTCTATCCTATTTTCTTCCCATCCAATAAACATTGCGTATGCGTGCTTCTACCTACAGAACCGTTACTATAATCATAAAACTTAATTTACCCAAAGATTTAATAAAAACTGCAACAACAACTGCAAATTTAGGAAAAACAACTACTAAATAATTTCAAAAATTAAATATTTATTAAGCATATGCTTCACTCTCTTCCTCTTTAAACTAAAAAGACAAAGAAAAGTAAGAAAACGACACTCACACAAGTAAATTTCTATAATCCATGATTGATAATCAACTAAATTCTATTTGAAATTAAAACATAATAATAACGACAACAACAACAACAACAACCACAATATCAACAAAATGAATAACAACACTACAAATAACAACAATAACAACAACAACAACAACAACATCATCAACATCCATTTGCATTGTTATCATCATCATCACGGTTAACACATGAAACAGATTTAATACAGCCGATGCCGAGCTGAGGTACAAGCATGAGCTCAATGAGCAAATATCGCAAAAGCGACGTTCGATTAGCATGGCGCAACAACTTGACAAGGACATGTGCAACAGACATTTCGTTGTCTTTGACACGTTTTGGGGTCGTCCAGGACACGGTGCACCCGGTGCAGATAAACGGAAGCTGAAATTGAATCGTTTGCTTTACGGCTCGCCCGAATGTACGCCTCTACTACAGCGAACCAGTTACTCGAACGACTTACATATATAACAAAAACAAAAGAAAATTAAAATTTAAAATTGTTTATGTATGATAAAATTAAGGAAAAAATATTTTTTATTTTTGCACTCATTGTACATGTAGCGATAATACACACAGAGATTAAGCTGCTAGCTTATTTTGACGTCACAGATAACATATCTAAAGTTTAGATATTTTCTGCATAGTTTATTTATACGTTATGTCTAAAATTTAGATAGTTTATCTGCAACATTAAATATCTAAGGTCTAGATACTTTATGTTAACTAGAAAATGTCCAAACTTTTGATATTTTATTTATATAAAATATCAAATATCTTGCGCCCAGATATTTCATTTACAGCTTTGAATATCTAAGGGTTGGGGGATTTTATCTAAAACAGTAAATATCTACAATTTATCTAAATATCTAAATATCAGGTTCTAAAGTTGAAATATTTTAACTGAACCATTAAATATCTAGATATTTTAGATATTGTACTTTGTAGTTTTTGATATTCTAGATATTTTATCGATAATATCGTAACTAGATATAAAGAAATTTAGCCAAGTTTAGAGATTTTATTTAAGGTTTGTAGATACTTTGTCTAAAGCATCAATTAACCAAAGTTTAATTATTCTTTCTAAAGCTTAGATATTTTATCTAAAGTTTAGATCTTCTATCATATAATGTCAAGCAACAAATATCTAAAATTTATCGTTTTTTTATTCAAACTTAACATATATCATCTAAAGTGTGAATATTTATTATTTCAACTGTCTAGTATCGCTTTGAAGTCTCATAAATATTCATGTCAATGTGTTAGATCTCCAGGTTTCTCTTTGGGGTTAAACATAGATAGTCGGCGGTGTCCGATGACAAACGTGAGAGTGTGAGAACGTACACTCTGGATTTGTGCACCTCAGCCACTGCTTTCCTTTCCATCAGGCACATCAGATGGGCAATCCATGCATGATAGATGGCTCCCCTTAAATACTAAACATAAGTTTCAAAAATATCCCGGAATACTTGTATACTGCCATTGTCCTGCCGCTCCCTAGTCTTTTTCATCTCGCATAGGAATAAAGTTTGTCGACTGTTTTAGATGATTAAGTGTACCAAGCCATAATGTGCAATTTATAAGAAAACTTTTGTCGACTTGCCAAGACTGTAAGACGACTTAAAAGCTTTTCGTCTAACTTTTTTCTAAGAACACAAATATTTTGTTAATATTTCACATCACTACCATTTTAATACTTTTTTAAATGATTAATTTTCTTGTTATACTTAATGTAGCATTTGCTCATTCGAGTTCTAGTGTATATGTATATAAGTGGTTAGTTCAATTAACTTGAATGTGTGTTTATTAAGTTGTTCTTTTTAATAAAAAAAAAAAAAGAAAAAAAAAAAACCTAAAGGTATATAAATAAATTTTTATAAAATAAATATTTTTAAAAGTGTTCAGCATTTTTTTTTTTTTTATTTTGAGTAACCAAAGAATGGTTTTACACTCAAATTTGTACATGAAATTCAATTATATCCGACAAGTTAGCGTTGAAGTAGCATAGAAAAAAATTTCTCTAAATTGACCAAAATGAAGTTAGCTTATAGCAGAATGAATTATGTTTTCACACGCAGACACACTGTAGAATGAATAAAAGTTGTTCACATACACAGACACAATCGAATGAAAAGAATGATCTTATTGGGGATGATGCTCCAAAAAAATTTGTTCGTCTCATACAAATATTTTTATTCCGTTTGCAATATGGCGGAAGACGTAAGAGGGAGTGCGTGGAAGATACACTTTTCTGAGTTAATTTGAACTACGAAATCCACAAGCTACCTGGGACGCTTTCAATCTTCAAAGTTGAAAATAAAAAATTTTACACCCAAGCGAATGTAGTCTCTGTTTGATTTCCTATATCAGTTGATTAGCTCGAAAACGTTGAAAAAGTTAACTCTAAACTAATTTGCTTAAGCCATTACGGTTACAGTTACATGAGAAATGCTGATCTATAATATAGCATGGATATTACTAAAGCGTTGCCAATAAGCTAACGAAGTATATATATATACACTTGGAAGAAGTTCATTGGCTCTGAAGAGAATCTTTGACATTTGCGTAATAGAACCTGCATTATAACTTAAGTTTTCAGCGTTCTGATCAAGAATGAATCAGAATAAAGATTTTCATTTCATTACGCAGATGAACGTACCTAAATTGTCTCCCTATTCGAAGAGAACTCATCGCTGGAATCCAGAATAAAAATCCAAATTTGCGCCGTATGCTTTTCGATTGATTAAGAAGATTAAAAAACGAACGCAATCCGCCCATGTTTATTACGCCTAAAAGTGATATTAATCGGTTTACCGGCATGCTTTCATGTTTTTACAACAAATATATTTATTTTTTCTTTATTTTGTGTAAAAATTACTATCAATTTTATCAAATTTTTATTTCACACGTAACTGACTTTCATAAAACATTGCCATGGAATGAATTAAAATACGCTCCACAATGTTTAAAATTCATTGTAGAATTTTTAAAGTTTCTAGAGCGTAAGCTTTATGTTAAAACTGTTACAAAATATTTAACAGACAATACGGATGTTATGTTATTTAAAAAAGCCTAACAGTAAACAGAAATTAGGTTAACTGTAAACTAACATCAAGTGGATGTTGTGACGCTTACGAAGTTAGAACGAATACTATTGCAAAAGTTTACGCACCACCGTCACTACTACTACTACTACTACTATCATTGGTACTACTACTAGTACTAGTACTCTTATTGCTGCTATGACGACTGCTATAGTTCATGATGAAAGTGTCGATGTTTAATACAATCCTTTTGCTTTGATGGTATTGGTGGTATTGCTTGTTTGCAAATGTTTTGCATTGCAGATGGACGACGCATGGTTGAAAGGAATGATTACAAAAAAAAAAAAAAAGAACAAAAAATGAAGAAACCAACAAAAAAACAAAAAGGATAGTGAGAAAAACCCAATTGAAAGGTGAATTGAAAACCGAAGGAATATCTAGTCTACTTAATGACGTTGCGGATAAATGTGAAAAATAAGAAAGAAAAAAAAGAAGAAACGAATGCTTTTAAAGTATATAAGTACATGTTTGGATGCATGAGAATTAAACAGGGAAACCAGCTCGCTGAACGTGACTAAACTAGAAAATAAAAACGCATTCTAAGCTAACGCGCATTCGTTTATGGTTATGATTATTTATTTATATTTTATCTTTTCTTTTTCTTTTTTTTTTTTTTTTTTAGTTGTATATGCAAAAACTTCAATGAAAAATTTAAAGTTAATAACTCGAAAACCTCGTATGACACATACATTACATTTACATTGTACATAAACAGTTAAATCGAGTGGAAAAATGCGTTTTATTATTGAAAATTGAATTTTCTTTAAGATATTAAATTTACAAAAATTCTTAACACAAATCTGTGCCCTGCTGTGGTTATCAGCTAACACAACGACATTAAGTGCACTAAAATGTTGGTGAGAAGTTTGAACGATGTCAACTTGAAGCTGTAAAGGAAATGAAAACATTTTATGTTGCATTTGCACACATCCTGTCACAGATTTATAGCACACCCAACTGTGCTCAACTGTTACGAACACGTGCAATATATAAGAATATACCTACTTACCTACCTACCTACCTGCCTACCTATAACACATTGGCATCCGTATCCTATAAAGCACACGTACGATAGACTGTTTTCGCCTCTATTATCGCCACACATCACAATTGCAACGTGAGCGTACTGATACGGAAGCATACGAAACTGCATAGGTGTATGCAGCTCAATCTGTTATGCTGCTGATACATCAAGCATGGCTTGTTATCAAGTTTGTCGTTGTCATTATTATCATTGCTATTGTTGTTGTTATTACCGCATATAACTGATGTTAAACACAAAGAAAACCGAAAGACTTACTTCACTGGTTCAGCATATTTGCACTTCATATATATATATATATTTTTTTTTTTTGGTTTTTCTTCCCTTTACCCGTCACTCACTCACTCACTCACTCACTCACTCACTCAATCGTTCAGTCACAACACTGTTAGTATCTTTTTCGTCCTTGCCAAAGTCATTTTAATGAATATGTTTAACATATCCGCCGTATAGACATCTCATATTTTGTTGGATTTACCGCGACAAACTAACGAAGCAACCAACCAACCAACCAACCAACCGACCAAGCAACCAGCCAACTAACATTAACATTAAGCCTGTCAGACATCATCAGTACATGTGAAAGTGTTTGCTTGCGCTATACATTACGCATACGTAATGTGACGGTAAAATGACACAACTATACAATTGCGATTATAAATGCTAACGATTATTATGTATGCGAACGAGGCGAGATTATGATTAAAGTCAAAGGGCCTGTCACATGCAAATCTCAGAATTTTTCCATTTTCTTGTCCTTTTTTTTTTCTTTTTTTAAACACAAAAACAAAAAAAATTAAGATAAAAAACGACAAGACATGAATCATATAGGCAAAGTCAGAAGGTCGGAAGGAACAGGAAGAAAACATAAAACGCAAGGAAAAAGACTCGATTTATTTTGTGGCTAGGACAGGGCATATAAGTACAGGTATATGATGAATATACCTCGTGCGAATTATTTTTCTATAGAAGTTGTTGTGGCGGCTTAAACTTAAGCAGAAAATTTAAAAAAAGAGTACCTAGAGTAAGTACCTCATCAAGTGTAGTTTAAATGAAAAATTGAAAGATTGTTGTATTTGTCTTTTGTTAGATGTGAAGGTTGGAGTGGTTTTAGTTTTTAAATTTATTTTTAGTCCTTATGTCAGGTTATAGTTTACTATGAGAAATTTGCAATAAAGCAGAGACCGAAGATGGTTGGACGGGAATCATTTGCATAAGCATGATCGAATTGACCAACAAATGCACAGAGATTATTACTTTCGTAGATAATCAGATGATGGGAGAAGTAACTGAACCGAGAAGTGCTCAGAGCAATAGCTAAACGT